GTACACGCACCCACACAGAACTGCTGATACTGCTGCTGCTGTCTGCATCACCCTTCTTGTTGTTTGTGAGTTCAGGAGGAAGTGTTGTTGTTGTGGTGGTGTTTTCTGTATTTCTGTCAACACCTTCTTGGATGTTTGTGGACTCACTCTCCGTAGATGTAGTACCGTTCTCTGTCAGTGTAGTTTCAGATTCACCAGCATTACCTGTATCAGGTTTCTTAGAAGAAGAAGGTTGTGGTGCTGTATTTCCGTGGTTAGCTGCAGTTTCTCCTGTTGGACTGCTGCCGCTGTTTCCAGTTTGATCGTCAGCAGCAGCCACACTACTCCCATCAGCAGGAGAAGCAGGTGTAGGAATAACAGGTTCAGGACTACCTGGTATTGGATTATTATGTGTAGGAGGAGAAGGATGAGAAACTGCACTGGATGAACTAGAAGCTGAACTCCCACCAGAAGAACCACCAGAACCTTCATCCACTTGACTAGACTCAATAACACTACCAGGTTCCACTTTAACCTTTGGAATTTCAAGCTGATCCTTGGTTTGCTCCGGTAGACTACCAGTATTACGGTCATCTGTATTAGGCTTGACATCACGTTGAGGAGCACGAGGAGTTGGCTTTTCTGGAGCGGGAGAACGAGAAGAAGGCTGTTTACCTTGTGGTTCATGAGAGACCTGTGAAGGTTCAAGAGAAACTTCAGATTCCCTTGACTTAGGTAGACTTAATGATTTGCTTTCTTTCGTTTTATTCTTTTTAGTGGTATCTACAGCTACTTCTTTTTCTTCTTTCTCAGTGTCACCATCTTCGTCCTCCTCTTCAAGCAAAATCTCAAACCCACCAACATCCTCCGCAGGAATAGCACGATGAACAAGAGAAGGAACACCAACAGTGGAAGGTTTAATAAGGGCATCAGAAGTTTTAGGACTATCAGCCCATACTAACCCACAAGCACAACACAGTGCAAGAGTTAGTAAACAGAGCAGATAGCACCTCACCATTACAACATTTGTCATTGTTGATGTTTACTTCACTAGACTAATACAAGAAAGAAGAAGGCAGAGAAAGAATTATGATAGAAACAAAGAAACATACACCATTACAACAAATATTCACAGTGGGATAGAGAGAGAAAGAGAAGCATCAACTCCACAGTAAACCAAGAAAAGGAATAGTCCGCTTGTAATGATAATAATAAGTACCCATTAATAGAAAAAGAAAAGAAAACAACACAATAACCTAATAAGAAAGAGCCAAATACACACAGAATACCCCATGGCTCTAGTTTATGTATATTAAATTACTGCACACACACATCTGTGTGTACTAGCAAGAGATGTATACCGTCAGTGAGCAGAACAGCCCAGTTTTCTGCACACACAACGGGAAAAAGCAAGTAATGGAATTATTAAAAAAAGAACACACACACACACACAGACAAAGGTAAAAGAAAAAAGATATTCGAATTAAAAGAAAAAGCTGGTAAAAAGATTATTAGTTTATTCACCCATGGGGGATGTACGCAATTTTGATTCTGTTGGTTTAATCATTATTATTGTTTGCTCTCAAGTGAGTCCCACCGTTCAGTACATGGTAGCGGAGAACAACAAAACCACAATCAGTAGCGATGCTGCAGTGCGCATCCACACAGGACTGACACTGCTGTCAACATTAGCCTTCTTCTGAACAGTGGAAGCAATGCTGCTGATTCGTGTGTCGGTTACGGAAACAGGAGGTGCAGGACCAGGAGATGGAGTGGTGGTTGGTGCTTCTGTGGTAGTATTAGTGGTGGTGGCCGTTGATTCAGCATTACCATTCTCTTGTGAAGCTGTTGTGGGAAAAGTACCTGCAGCTGCAGGAGATGCTTGCTCGGTAGAATTAGAATTTCCTGTTGTAGTGTTATCCACTGTGTTATTTGATGATCCTGGGTTACCTTGTGAAGGTGGATTCGACGGTGGAATTTGGCTTTGTTCTTGAACAGTCGTAATAGCTTCGTCTATGCTGTTACTCCTGTCCTCTCGAGCAACAGAAGAAGTATCAGACGTACTTTCACCACCTCTTTCATTGTGGGCGGGTTGAGAATCGGCACGTGATCCTCCTTCTTCTTGATCCGTACTTCTCTCATCAACTTGTTCTTCTCGTGAAAGTGCTCCTGAGTCTCCTGGGTGTGTGTCTTGTGTACGAATCATTTCCTGTGTCGGCAGAACTGTTCCGTGAAGATCACCCTGACCTTCTCTCACAGAAGACCCAATGCTGGAACCAGAGGAAGAAGTTGTACTAGTATTCAACGTTGGAGTATGAAGTGATTCATTAAAGAGAGCTGTAAAGACATTACCTGGATCAGTACAAGTACCAGAAGTACAGACCGAACCAACCTCTTTATCTCCAGGTTCATTCGTAAATGCGTTAGCGTCCATGCAGACAAAGGCAACACTCAACAGAAAAACCAGCAAACACACAACGGATCGCATCATCATGGGAAGAGTAATTCTTGGTTGTTTTTACGTCACTTTGTTAAAGAAAAAAAGGGAACAGAGTGAAAAATTGAAAAAGATCCCATACAAAAGAAAGAAAAGCAAATGGTGGGAAAACAGAACACAACTAAAACAACAGTAAACACAATACAACACTTCCAGTATAAACAATAAAGAATCCAATAAAGAGGCACCAGAAAAATAAAAACCGAACAAAACAAGAAGTAATGAAAAAAGAAATTAAAAGCACAACGAAATGCCCAACAAAACATACAATAACAAAGAAGACTGGGTATGCTGGTGCTTATAAGCAATAATGCAATTATGTTTAACAATTACTGTTTTTTTTTCTTCTATCCAAAGTAGATAAACATAACAATGCAGGACAAAGCACATAAAGAACTAGCAAATCACAAGCAAACAAAAAGAAATTAACAATTAAAAACACCATACCCAGTAAACACAGAAATACACCAACTATGGGTATAAGTCTATATATGTGTATATACGCAATTATAAATATAAATTCATCTGTTATTATTATTATTTTTTTCCACTGCAAAAAGGCAGTTCATCATCATCACAGTGCAAGCCCAGGTGCACACACAGAGAGTCTCCAAGAACACACGCACACACACAATGGAGTAGCAATAATAATTATTATAGGATAAACACAGAGAGAGCAAAAACACACACAAAACACATTAAGAAACAAAAAAAGAAAAGAAATTCCAACAGGTGGAAGATTAGTTAGACTGTAGTGTGGATGCATGCAAAAAAGAAGAAAAGAAAACAAAGGA